CTTCGAACATGTCCTCTTGAAAGACGAAGTACTTATTCGTCTGACCTCCTCCTGACACCTTTGACTTCTTTGATAAACGGACTGTTGAGTTACCTGGTTAGCTTAAACCTCCCAAACAAAACCAATCATTCAACGACTTTATCCTTGAGTGGAACCAAACCCCTTACGACCTCGTCAAACTTACCGACATCCCCCAACTGAGGGGCTTCTGTGGTATGACCTCACTGAAGTCACGATCGATTACTAATTTAGGTAGCTAGCGACCCTCTTCGACTAGTCATTGATTTAACTGTTTATTATGATTCTTCATTTAACTATTCTTTAACCATGTGTGGGCTCTCTACTGGCCTCCGTGTGATCTGGATCTACCTCCTCCACTAAGAAAACCAAGGAGCTTGAGGTCACAGTCAAGACGACCAGCGAGATGTTATAGATACCTCCTTTGGTCCAGAAAACTACCATTTTCGAGCTACCTAATTCCCCTCAGTACAAAATCTTAGAGTGTCGGAGGTGTGAAAAGAAGAGTGGCCACTCGAAGAAGATAAATGAGGTTGCACAGACCAAAACTAACAAGGCCACATCGTTGGAGCAACATGGTCGATGCGCGAACTCAAAGGACATCGAAATGCGGTCGGCATACCTGCTCTCCATTTTTCATGATGGGGAAACCGATCGTTGGTCGGGCAATAGGGCATCTGGAGCTGCCTATGTTCTCAACCACACTATTCAGGTGCAACCTCTCTTGTGCCTTTTTGAATGCTTTGCAATATTGGGATCGATCTTTACTTCTTGTACTTATCCTTTTATTTCTTGTCTTTGTAGGATTTATTCGGGTTGTCTTCCTTACTGAATGAGGATCTGGCCGGCAAGACTCCTTCTGTCGAGGTGGCTTGATTTGAGACCGAGCTTGCGCATAATGAGGCTTCCAATATCAGCCTTTGCACCATCGGGTCGAACGGAAGTTGAAGACTTCATAGGTCAAATAGGACGTCAAGGATATGAAGAGCACCGCAGGTCAAATTAGGGCTCTCGGATGGCCTCTAAAGGTACATCTGATTGAGGGATCGATCAGATGTGCAAGGCATTAGGGTTCGATATTGGTGATACTCTACCTCAAGGTAATCAAGGTCGGCCGCCTGGTTAGACCGTCAAATAAGGAAGACTAAAGTATAAGAAGGAATATTATATGGATTAAACCACCATGTGGCCTAACAGAATTGGGCAGTTCAGGTAGTTTGGGCAGCTCGGACAGTACAAATAGGCAGTCTGGGAAGCCACTCGGGCAGGCTTGGGTAACAAGGTATCATTTCCCTATAAAAAGGAGTGAGGTATGCCCAGCATTACATGACATTCATTACATATATTTTCTATACTGTACTTCATCTTCTATAAGTGCCGACTTAAGCATCAGAGGCTCTTCACCGGAAATGCCCTCCGGTGTGAGAGCTTTCGCAGATCTAAAGGTGTTTAACTGGCGAAGAACTCGAGATCAGGCTGAATCCAGCTGGTCGGAGGTCTTTTACGTACCACCAATCTATCAAAGAAATGAGTGAAGGTTGATCCACTTTGCAAAGCTTGTGGAGAAGCCTCTGAATCAACAGAGCATTTGTTCTTCACCTGCCCTAATGCTTGAAGGATTTGGGAACTAGCACCTCGGAATTGGGATGGCATAACTCACCTCTCTGACAACATCACTCATTGGTGGAATAAGGTCACCTCTATCACACATTCTGATATCTCTGAAGTAAGATAGCAGTTCACGACCTATTTTCTTTGGTGGATGTAGAAAGCTAAAAACTTATGGATGTTTCAACAAATCTGGAGGACTGAGATTGCAGTGGTTAATGTGGCTATGGAAGAATGTCTAGAGTTTAGCAAGACTTAGTTTATTCTTAGACTGATATTGGGTGTGTGGTGTTGCTATGTTCTTAGTATTGTTTGTTGGTTTGGTTGATGTTTTATTTTTTCCTTGTGGTGTTGGTCTGTACAGTCTTTGTTGTTTTGTTTCCCTGTTTGTAATCTTTTGTGGAATTAGCCTAGGGTCCCGGACCAGTGCAAAAATTTCTTTTGCTTTTGTTGGTGCAAGAAGAGATTCAAGCCCCAGTCTTTATGCTTTGTTCTTTTGCCGGGCCAAGAATTCTATTCTCGAGTCTAGTTTTTTCTAGATGTTTAGTGCACATTTTAGTGTTCCTTCCCTTCACCCGTTTGGTTGCTCGTAAGCCTATTTAGCCTTTTTATACATTGTTTGGAGCTATAAAATTTATGGTTTCGAAAAATAAAAGAAAAAACTCATTTACTTTATGTTATTTTCCCTTAGGTGTTTGCGTCATATGTAAACATAATAGTCGCGACCCGTGCATTGAACGAGATGATATATTTTGCTGGAATGTTTAACATCTTCAATATTTAAATTAATAGATTAATAGATTTGTTATATATATATATAGGGGTTGGTTCAAATAAAAACTAGTCCTGGTGTGAGAACCGTGAGAACCATATTTGATGCTATTTCTAATTGTGTATGTTGCTATTTTTAATCTCACATGGTGCTATCATTTTTACAAATGGTAACATAAATTGTGTTGCTATTTTTAATAAAATACATCCTGATTAAAAATAGCACTAAAATACAATCAATCATAGCACTACATACAATTAAAAATAGCGGTTCTCACGGTTCTCACGCTAGGACTTAGTTCTCATTTGAACCAAATCCTATATATATATATATATGTATATATATATATATATATATATATAAATGTAAAAACAATTAAGCGGGTCACAAACAAACTAAAAAATCATAAATTATTGAACATTTCATTGTACACAACGTTTTTTGTTTGGTTTGTTGGCAAGCTATCATCAATATATACAAATATTTTCAAACTACTTCGGTTGGTAATACGAGAGATAACAACGTAGAATTGGCCATGACTAAAAACTTGCTTCCTGAGAAACTAATTGACATGCGATAACGATTGTCCTTGACTCTTGTTCACAATCATGGCATAAGAAACCATAATGAGAAACCGTCATCGCTGGAATTTGAAAAGAATTATGACTTTAGAAGGGGTATTGTCATTCTAAGAATCAACAACTTATTTCCTGCATGATCCTCAATCAATATCTTACACTTGAAAACATGAGTGGAGAGTTTTGTCACAACCAACTGCGTCTCATTACATAGGCTCATAGAATGATCCATGTTCCGCAACAACATGACGGGAGTTCCAATCTTCAAATGCAACTGATGATTTGGAATTCCAGGAACGTTTGATATTATTCAAGAACTTGGGAATGTGGAGATCAGACATAAAATCATTATTAGAGTCTAACTTTCACGTACTATCGGAACTTAAGTACGTATGACCATCAGACAAATTCAACGATGTCATGTACTCATTTATGTACTCAACAACATTAAATGTGGGTGCTAATATAGCTTCGTTCTTCAAATAAATAGGATCATCGGTTGTCTGCTTAAATATTGGATACATGATTTCAACGATTTGAGCAATCGGATAATGAGAGGGCTCAACTTATATATCCTAGGTATGTCTATGTTTGTACAAAAATCGTTGGACTCCTCTATAGTTCAATCTCTAGTGTGTTCGCTATCCATTCAGCGAACCGAACAGCCTCTTCACGTTCTTCCAAATCAGTAAGGCTCTGAATACGCATGATTTTTCGTAAGTCTGGGCATAATACAACTCCTCCATATGTCAGAAGCATTAATCGCAACATTCACTATGTTCCGATGGCTGCCCTTTCGAATGACAGTAAGGATTTGTCGAAAATTTCCACAAAAAACAATTGGCTTGCCACCAAATGGTTAGTCCTTGTTAGAAGAATCAATTTCTCCCATAATATCCTCTAATGATGCAGGGACAACATCAAAACAATGCTTATGCATCATTTGAGCCTTATCCCATACTATTAGAGAAGCACTTATTATCAATTCACTAACATTGTTTGCTTGATTGCTATCAACTTGATAGTTGCGAACTGCATAAACTTGACATACTTTAAGAAATTATCTAAATTTTAGAATATTTACTGAACGAATCATCCCGATTATGGATCCACCCTACATGATACATAAAAATTGCAACACACGTTAATGAAATATACAATAGGCTTAAAAATACACTGTTTATATCTGAAAATAAGATAAAAAATAGAAAACAAATTACATCTTCGTCATGAAAAACAATGTTCAAAACGTTCTTGTATTTGACATCAAATTTGTGTACAAATATGAGAACAACCCTATGTTTCAAATATGATTTATCGGTATGGCAAATTAACTTAAGAGAGCCCCACACAAGCAACATTTTTTATATTTTAAAAAAATTGGAATAAATAAAATATTAGACAAAAAAATGTTGAATAAGTATGCTAAATGATTGAGTTGTGGAGCATTTTTATAAATAACATTTTATCCATGAATTAGCGTGTGTTGTAGACTATGAAATAAATTTATGTAGATTTGATGATTAACATTCCTGTGAACGTAAACTCTTTTAAATGTTTTTCATTTTAAATTTTTGTGGATGCCTTGTATGGATTAGGTGACAAATTTGTTAAAGTATTGAATTGAAAATATTAATCCACTTTCTTTTTCTTTAGCTGGTAACTGAAATTAATAAAACCCGACCATATTTCATAAAAAAGTCACTAAAATTATAGATTTAATTAGTAAAATAATTGGTTGTGTGAAGTAGAATTGGAATTTTTTTCGGCTTATTTTCTAGGTGGATGTATCCTACAGAATAAGAAAATATGCTAATTTTTTTATTTTTTTTTTATTTTTTTTTTCCAACGACAAACAAGATAAAATTACTCAAACAATAGTCTTACAATGCGAGGCCTAAATAGGCACAAATATTACCTAAGTGAACTCGAAAGCCTACTTATATGCAACAATAGAATGATGTTTACAAATCATATTGAGAAGCCATTTTGGCTAAATGGATACAATCTTTACAATGAAAAACATCAAAAATAAAATCACAGAATCTAAAAGAACACCAAAGTTGCTTGAAAGCCCTGGCATCAGAACTCAACTGCTCCATATCTTCAGATAAACTTTGAATCCACGCCACCATTGCCCTGCACTCTATGTGACAAATGATATCCCTCCACCCCTTGTCTTTAGCCTGGTCCAGCACCCAATAGATTCCTTCAATGTAGGCCTCCACTGAACTTCCCATGAAGTCCCTAGATGTATCCCACAAATGAAGAACCCTATTTTCGGTGAATGCCTTACCACCCAACCCCAGTTTCCCATTTTGAACCCAACAGCTGACTGCAATCCCCATCTTCTCCATCTGCTCCTCCCCCCTTCTACTGACAGACATCCTCATATTGCTACTGCCTCCAATCTCATCACTCCCCCTAACCTCTGTCTTTATTCTTCTCCTTGTAGTTCTCACTGGGTCCTCACAGTCCCTAAACAGTTGCCAGTCACTAAGAGCTTTCTAGACAATTTTGTGCTCCCTAACCCACTTTTTTTCAAACACCCAACTATTCCTAGTTTTCCAAAGCCACCACACAAGATAAGTAGATAAACTAATCCTATCAATCATGTGGTAAGCCTTGGGAGCAGTACAAATCTCATACCACCACACCCCAAAATCAGTGTCTGCCTTAGCCATCTTATCCCAGCTCACTCCCAATAACTGCCAGCACACCCTAGCCCTATTACAATTAAACAGAATGTGGTTCAAGTCCTCATCATCCTCCCCACAAACATCACAAATCAATTCACACCCCAATACTCTCTTAGCCAACTGCCTTTTAGAACTAATAAAATCATTCCAGCACCTCTATAAAAAGTTTTTGATTTTGTTCTGAATTGGCAGCCTCCAAGTGACCCTCCACATTTTATCTACCTGAGTCATAGTACTACTAGAAGCCCTATCTCTAATGTTCGGCCTGTTCTGCTTCATAATCATCTCATACACATTTTTAACAGAAAACACACTATCCCTCTTCCCATGCCACACCCACCTATCTCTCATACTCACAGCATTCAGGGGAATATTCAAGATGGCTTTAGCAGTATTAGGCTCAAAAGTCTGGTGAATTAGGTCCCTATCCCACTGGCAACCCCCTTCTCCCATAAGATCCCTCACCTTACTCAATCTAGCCCTATCCTCTAAAAACCTGCAATCAGGGATAAACCCTTTAATCTCAGGGATCCAGGGAGATTCCCATATATCAGCTAACTTACCATCCCCTATCCTATACCTAATACCCATCTGAAGGTATTTCCTAGCACCTAACCAACACTTCCATAACCAAGAGTCTCCCCCTCTGCTTTTGACATCCCACAATTTAGACTTAGGAAAATATCTACCTTTGATTACCCTGCTCATCAACAGATAGGCATTGTAAGCACCCTCCACAACTGTTTCACTAAGAGAGCCTCATTGAAAGCTCTCAAATCTTTAAATCCTAACCCCCCCTCTCCCTTAGACTGAGTTAACCTATCCCATCTAGCCCAATGCCATTTGTTTCCCTGCCCACTATCCTTCTTCCCCCACCAGAAATTAGCAGAATCTCTACAAATGTCATCACACACACTCACAGGCACCCTATAACAAGACATAATGTAAGTAGGAATAGCCCCTATCACTGATTTCAAAAGAACTTCTCTCCCTGCTTCACTCAAGTACACATTTTTCCAACTAGAAATTCTGTTTTTTACTGTCTCACTCACAAACTGGAAAGTTTCTCTCTTAGACCTACCAATTCCCAAAGGGAGACCCAAGTACTTAGAGGTTCTGACATGCTTGATCCCTTGCAGAATGTTACACACACTGGAAATAGTAGAATTATCAGAATTCTTAGAAAAAAAAGATAGAGGATTTATCCAAATTGACTCTTTGACCAGAAGCAGACCCATATTCAGAAAGGATTGTGAGAATCAAATGAGCATGAATAGCATCAGCTTTACAGAGTAACAAAGAATCATCTGCAAAGAACAAATAAGAAATTACAGGAGCCTCTCTCCCCACCCTAATCCCCTGATACTTCCTATTAATTCTAGCTTGACAAATCAAATTAGAGAAAGCTTCTGACACTAGAATAAAGAGATAATGGGATAAAGGATCCCCTTGTCTCAATCCTCTACTAGCCCTAACAAACCCTGAATTAACCCCCTTCACATTAAAACTAAAAGATGTGGAACAGATGCAAGCTAAAATCCAATTAACAAACCTCTGACAAAAACCCATCTTTAAACAAACCTTAGCTAAAAAACCCCACTCAATTCTATCATAAGCCTTAGACATGTCCAATTTCACAGCCATAAATTTCTCCCTACCACCCTTTTTGCTATTAATGTAATGAATACACTCATTAGCAATGATAGCATTGTCCAAGATTTGCCTACCAGGGACAAAAGCAGATTGAGCAGTGGATACACACACATGCAGGACAGTCTTCAATCTATTGGCAAGGATTTTAGCAATAAGTTTATACAAGACATTACACAAACTAATGGGTCTGAAATCAGCAACCTGGGTAGGGTGCTTTCTCTTAGGGATAAGAGTGATGATGGCATGATTAATGCCCTTAGGGATTCTCCCATTCTGGAAAAAATTGGAGACAGCCTCCCCTACATGACCTTTAACTATGGACCAGGAACTATGAAAAAAAACCTACCGTAAGACCATCCTCCCCTGGGGCTTTATCCTTATGCATATCACAAAGGGCTTCCCATATCTCTTTTTCAACAACATCCTCAGTGAGTTTAGTGTTCATATCAGAGGATATAGAAGTGGGAATTCCCTCAAGATTGCAGGACTCCAGCCGAGGGTTGGATGACTTAAATAGGTTGGCAAAATACTCCTCAAGCACCTCAATAGTATCCTGATCACTACTACATTTAGACCCATCAGCCTTACACAAATTATCAAGGCTATTACTCCATCTCCTCTGTTTAACAGAGGCTTGGAAAAACTTGGTATTTTTATCCCCACATTTCAGCCAATCAACTCTGGCTTTCTGTTGCCAGAAAGCTTCTTCATGTTGATAAGCTATATGCAACTTGTTTCTACAGTTCCTCCACTCCTCCCAATCTCTACCAGCACCCTGGACTTCCAACTCCCCTAATCTACCTTTGAGTCTATCCATTTCCTTAGCAGAGTTATGAGGGAATGTAGAAATCCATCCCAGGATAGCTTTTCTAACACTCCTAACTCTACTTTGAATACTGAATAGACTATAACCCCCCAAAGGGATATTCCAAGCCTGAGCAATCACATCCTGGAACCCCTCAACCTTAGTCCACCTATTGTCAAAGAAAAATCTCTTAGGATTTCTGACCACAGGCCCCTCAGATGCCAACAAGAGCATGCAATGATCAGATGATAAAAGGGGAAAATGATTGACAACAGCATTAGGGTAAGACCTAAGCCATTCAGGAGACAGGAAAAACCTATCTAATTTTTCCTCTATGAATTCTAACCCTTGTCTGTGGTTGGACCAGGTGAAAGGGTGACCAATCACTTTACTGTCCACAGCCCCTAAACCCCTAACTAAATTCCTAAAACACCTGAAACTACTCTCCTCTCTCACCATCCCACCCCTTTTCTCTTGATTAGAGAGAATAGAGTTGAAATCCCCACCCACAAACCAGTGACTACCCCACCTGAGACTATGTCTCAACAAAATACTGAATTGAAAAGTTCTCTCAGAGAGTATGCTGCTAGCATAGACAAACACCCCCCACTGAGCAACATCACTGTTCTGAAATTTAAACAACACTTCAATGCAAAACTCAGTGCATTCAATTTTATCCACTGAGATGTTAGCAGACCAGTATAGCAAAAGGCCTCCACGAGATACTACCGGGTTAACAACTACCCATCTATCATCAAACTTACAATTTCTACAAACAGTCTTAACAAACTTTTTTTTTTTTTTTTGTTTCAGAAAGAAAAAGAAAATCTGGGAGGTGAGTCTTCATAGACTCTTTGATTTGGGAAATTGTAGAGGGTCCCCCCAACCCTCTACAATTCCACACCGCAACTTTCATTGGTCACCTTGGGACCAGTTGTGGCTGGTTTCCTCCACCAAATAAATAGACAAATCAGAGTTTTTAGCTTTCTTCTTCCTACCATTGCTCTCCAAATCAAATTGATCAGAATCTAAACATAGACCTATATTTCTCTTATTTCCCTCCACTCCACCAAGCCTAATTCCCCCTTCCTTACCCTCTATCCCAACATTCACCCTATTCCCTCCCTTAACACTGGCTCTAGTTTTCCTCACAAAAGTTTTTTTCTTTTTCTGACCTCTCTTATCCCCAAGAGGGGCAGCTTGGACATCAATGTCCATGAGCTGAGAATCATCATGCTCCTCGCCTAGATGATCCTTCTCACCCTCCTCTCTAATCTCCTCACCCACATAATTGTTCTCAGCAAGCCTATCAGGCACCTCAAGGCCAACTGATCTAACTATCAGCACCCCATCATCAGAGATTTTATCATTATTCCCCTTATTACTATCAGCATTACCCAACCCACTACCCTGAGGAGCAGGTCTAACAGACTCACCCCCACCACTCCTCCCATAAGAACTACCCCCTGCTGAGGAGTTAACACTTCTAGATTCTAAGAAACTAATAGGGGTAGCTTTGAGCCAATCACCAAATTGGCCATGCTTAGCTACCCCTTTTGCAACGTCCTCTTTCTTAGTGCCACAGTTTCTGTCGGTGTGACCCACCTTACCACAGTAGAAGCAAAATGTTTGGAGATGTTCATATTTGAAATCTACCCAGTGGCATTCATTGCCCAGCTTAACATTAGCTCCCCTAGGTAGAGGTTCAGAAAGTTTCATCTCCACCAGAATTTTAACCAGGTTACCATCCCAACTCCCAGCAGCAGGAACTAAAACATCTAAGACTCTCCCCACTAATTTTCCCAATTTTAACCCAGTTTCCATAGCCACCCAATGGAGAGGAAGATTATGAATTTGAACCCAAACCTTAATGACTTCCTCCTCCACCAAAAATTCTACCTGGCCAGGGATCCATTTCTTTAGCAAGATATACTGGCCATCAAAAGACCAGGTCTTGCCGTTAAGGATCCTATCTAAGTCCTCCTCCGATTGAAAGAGGAATTGAAAAAGATTGAACCCAATGCACTTGATAGAAAATGGTTTTTTAGACATCCAAATACTATTAAGAGTGGCTTTCAGCCCAGAAAAATTGACTTTCTTATCCCCAAAAACATTGCCAATAAGACTCAATTTGCAATCTTGAAGAGTAGGGGCAATATCTAAACCTGCTAGCTCAACCCCTACCTCTTCTTTTTTAGATAGCCTGAATTTCTGGAGAGAATCAGACAACTCACACGCCATACTCTAACCCTAAACAAGACAGCACCCACAGACTCAAACCCTACCTGACCCAAGCCTCACAAACACAAAACCGAAAGAAGACTAAATCTACAAAGCACAAGAGAAACCTCCCCCCAAAATCTAAAAAGCAGAAAATAAACCAAACCCCACGTCCCTCACGCTAGACAGGGAATACGATAGAGAGAGATTAGCACCTGTAGTACTTGATATACGCAAATCAAAGATAATACGATCATAAACACCAAAGAAGGAACAAGAAAGAGCAGAGGATCAAGCAATGACAAAACCCTAACCCCAATCTCACGAGGAGAACAAGTCTCTAGAGAGAGAAAACTTTCCAAAAAGGAAACTCAGATCCAAAATATGCTAATTTGTTGCCTTTATGTAATGTAAGTTCAATTTCTTTAATTTTCGTTAGATAAATTTAATCACATGGTTATGCACAACTATATTGTAGGTCTAGAATATAAAATAAATAAAGAAATATCAATGACAAACAATCTATTTATACTAATAGTCTATTATATGTATTCTTTTACTTTTATATGAATGCATACTATAGATTAGGTAACAAATTCGGTTTAATTTTGAATGACATATTGTCATCTATATTTATTTCTTTTAGTGATGTAATTCTAATTAATTATACCTTTCCAAATTGTGAGGTATACGCGAAATAAATTTTATTATCAGATATACGTTCAATAATTCGTATGCATTATAACTTTAGGATTCTTTAAAAGGATTATTAAACAAAGAATTTTTATATCAAAAGATTTTTCTCACGTTTTTAAAAAATATTTTTGATATAACATCGATAAAAAAGGGCAATATACTAGTTCGATTTACATTTTTATTAATATTATTCAAAAATAATTTTTATTTCACATTTTTTAAAATTAATTTTGATATAGCATCCATCCAAAAAGACAGTATTCTGATTTGATTAATATAATTACCTTTACAAATGTATCTTATGTAAAATGTAGTTGATTCCATATTAAAAAAAAAAATGTGGTATCTACTTTACCCAGATTTTCACATTATATAAAGATGTCCAAATTAGTAAATTTTTCATATATTAGATTACATCAATAAATTTAATTTGAAGGAATTCCACTAGATTGTGATTTTTAATTATGTTTATAATTTTTTCAATAAAATATATTAAACGTGAGTACTTGTAAGTTCCGTACATTTTTTAAAAACAATTCATCACTTTATAATAGTATTGATAGGGATACTAGTACCAACCCCAAAATTATCTAGACATAGACCTGTAAAACCGGAGGCAAATAAGCCTATGGGTCGAACCAGATGGGAAAGACTAAATGTGGTCGATTGGCATTAACGGTCGAACACAGGCCGGTGGTCGAGCAGGCAGTTGAGGTCGAATCGGATAAAACCGGAGTAGGAATTCGACCGTCCGGGACACTCGGGCGTCGACCAAAAGGTCGACCCTTGGCAGTATCTGAACAGGTCGATGATCGACCCCTGGACACAGGCATCGACAAAGTTAGTTTCGGTCAACGGATGTCTAAGGACTTATAACCGCGTAGGAAATCACATAACAAAGGGCTATATATATCATAAGTACAATAGAGGGAAGGTAAGACATCATTTAATACAATCACTGTTACATTCATTACACAATTACTTTACCCCGAAATATTGACTTGGGCGTCGGAGGGTCTTGTGCTGGAGCAATTCCGGCGCTTTTGCAGGTACCAGCGAACTCAAGGACTTGGACCGCACCGAAGCGGTAGATCCACGTTCAAATCGGAGAGGACCTTTCGGAAAACCGGAGCCACCTATCTGGGACCATATCAAATTGGCGCCGTCTGTGGGGGACCAATGCACAATCTGCGTTGATCTGGTGGTATCTTATACATAGCAATCGGAAAAACAAGTTAAGAAGGAGAAAACGGGGTGAAGAAGATGGAGGAGGAAAGAGAGCGGGAACAGAGGAAAGAGGATAACTCTTGGTTACACAAGCGTCCGGTAGGGGCGGGGCAACCGCCAGGTGGGTGTTGTGTGGAAACACGCTGGCGACCCCAGCTCCTGCTATTCAGCAGCCACCGGAGCTATCTGAGGCAGCCGCAAATAGCCCTGTGCAAGCAGGTATGATGGAGACGCCAACAAGGCCGGGCGTGGGCTTATCATGCCGCGAGGCATGCGGAGAGGAATTGCAGCTCCAAGAAGAGACGGCGGAGGGGACCAGCGCAAACTCTAAGCTTCTCACCCCGGAGCAGCTCATAAAGATTACGCCAAGTGCGTTGGAGAGGATGATAGCAGCCGTGGTAGAGGCTAGAATGGCGTCCATCTCACCTCTAGTTAGGGGAGCAATCATTCGACCAGGAACTCAAGGACTAGAGGCTCGACCCGAGGCGCGAGAGGTGACAGCTCGACCCGAAGTGACTGCTCGATTGGTGGGGCAACTGGTCGTATGGGGCATGAGCACGAGCCAGAGCAATCGGTCCGCTCGTCAGGGGCCTTATCACAACCGCCCAGAAATCCGATCTTAAAGCGCATGGCGGAGCAGCTGCGTGAGCTTCAGGAGAAGGTCAACGGGCATCAAAGTCCGTGCCATACACGTCACCCGTTTGCAGACGAAGTGTTAAGAGCAGAGCTGCCGCAAGGGTTTCGAGAACTTTAATAAATTAGAAAATTTTTCATATATTAGATTACATCAATAAATTTAATTTGAAGGAATTCCACTAGATTGGGATTTTTAAATATGTTTATAATTTTTTCAATAAAATATATTAAACGTGAGTACTTGTAAGTTCCGTATATTTTTTAAAAACAATTAATCACTTTATAATAGTATTGATAGGGATACTAGTACCAACCCCAAAATTACCTAGACATAGACCTGTAAAACCGGAGGCAAATAAGGTCGAACCAGATGGGAAAGACTAAAGGTGGTCGATCGGCATTAACGGTCGAACACGGGCCGATGGTCGAGCAGGCAGTTGAGGTCGAATCGGATAAAACTGGAGTAGGAACTCGACCGTCCGGGAGACTCGGGCGTCGACCAAAAGGTCGACCCTTGGCAGTATCTGAACAGGTCGATGTTCGACACACGGACACAAACATCGACAAAGTTAGGCTCGGTCAACGGATGTCTAAGGACTTATAACCGCGTAGGAAATCACATAACAAAGGGCTATATATATCATAAGTACATTAGAAGGAAGGTAAGACATCATTTAATACAATCACTGTTACATTCATTACACAATTACTCTACTCCGAGATATTGACTTGGGCGTCGGACGGTCTTGTGTTGGAGCAATTCCGGCGCTTTTGCAGGTACCAGCGAACTCAAGGACTTGGACCGCACCGAACCGGTAGATCCACGTTCAAATAGGTGAAGACCTTTTGGAAAACCGGAGCCACCTATCTGGGACCATATCAAATTGGCGCCGTCTGTGGGGGACCCTAGCACAACTTGTGTTGATCTGGTGGTATCTCATACATAGAAATCGGGAAACAAGTTAAGAAGGAGAAAACGAGGTGAAGAAGATGGAGGAGGAAAGAGAGCGGGAACAGAGGGAAGAGGATAACTCTTGGTTACACAAGCGTCCGGTATGGGCGGGGCAACCGCCAGGGTGGGTGTTGTGTGGAAACACGCTGGCGACCCCAGCTCCTGCTATCCAGCAGCCACCGGAGCTATCTGAGGCAGCCGCAAATAGCCCTGTGCAAGCAGGTATGATGGAGACGCCAACAAGGCCGGGCGCGGGCTTATCACGCCGCGGGGCGTGCGGAGAGGAATTGCAGCTCCACGAAGAGACGGCGGAGGGGACCAGCGCAAACACTCAGCTTCTCACCCCGGAGCAGCTCATACAGATTACGCCCAGTGCGTTGGAGAGGATGATAGCAGCCGCGGTAGAGGCTAGAATGGCGTCGATCTCACCTCCAATTAGGGGAGCAATCATTCGACCAGGAACTCAGGGACTAGAGGCTCGACCCGAGGCGCGAGAGGTGACAGCTCGACCCGAAGTGACTGCTTGATTGGTGGCGCAACTGGTTGTATGGGGCATGAGCACGAGCCAGAGCAATCGGTCCGCTCGTCAGGGGCCTTATCACGACCGCCCAGAGACCCGATCTTAGAGCGCATGGCGGAGTTGCTGCGTGAGCTTCAAGAGAAGGTCAACGGGCGTCAAGGTCCGTGCCATCCATGTCACCCGTTTGCAGATGAAGTGTTAAGAGCAGAGCTACCGCAAGGGTTTCGAGAACTTACCATGACATATGATGGCTCGACCGATCCGTCTCGACATCTTAGGAGCTTCGAGAACATAACGGTGTTGCATAGGTATAGCGACGCGGTCCTTTCTGACCAAATTGAAGGGTGTTGCCCAAGATTGGTTCCATCAGCTAGCACCAGGTGTTGTTAAAGATTTTTTAGGCTTTAGTTGATTGCTCACCAACCAATTCGCGAGCGTGAGAAAGCATGAGAAGACGTACTTATCTTTGATAAGTTTGCAGCAGAGGGAGGAAGAAACATTACGAGCCTATATAGCCCGTTACACTCGTGCGTGCGTCGAAGTGCCAACCGCCGCAGAAGAGATGAAAGCCGGCGGATTGACCCGTGGACTGCGACCGGGCCCTTTCGGGATTCTTTGTCTAAAAGGCCGGCCTAAAGTTTCGATGAACTGTTGGAGAGAGGAGGCAAATATATGAACATGGAAGAGGTGCAAGCAGATTTCCTCGTAAGAGATGGTAGGAGGGAAAAGAAGCAGGAGCAGCGACCCCCTCGACTCGATGATAGGAAAGGAGGGCGAGAGAACAAGCGGGTAGATGAGAGAGGGTGGAAATCGGGACAGAGGTTCGACCGCTACACACCCTTGGTTACGCCAAGGGGGCAAGTATTCGCGGTGTTAGAAAAAAGAGGCAATCTGGGGATGCTGGATCGACCTCGTCCCTTGCTAAGAAGAGGAGGATCGATGAAATTGAGCATTGGAGGAGAACTGGGACTTGACTTCGAAACTTCCTCTATGCCTATTGGGCGACCAAAATTCTATTTTCGATACCATAGAGAGTACGGTCACGCAACTGACGCCTGCAAAGAGTTGAGAGACGATGTAGAAAGGCTAATACGAGCGGGACACTTGAAGAGTTCGTACTAAGGGATAAAGACCCGGAAGTAGGAAGAAAAGAAAACGATAAGTTGGAGCGAGATGATCGTGAAGATCCTGATAAGGACTAGCGGAAGAAAGGGGTAATTCACATGATCTCCAGAGGGCCGACGGATAGAGACTCGAATCGGGCGAGGCGGAGGTATGCGAGGGCATCGGAAGAGCCGATGGGGAAAGAGGTCCAATTGGCGGACGAGATGCCCCTTATTCACTTGGCCCAACACACCTTGGGGGTGTTGCAGCGCCCCACAATGACGTGTTGGTAATAATAGCGGAGATAGCAAACTTTGATGTCGAGCGCGTTTTTGTCGACACAGG